ACCCGTCCCCTCATTGGACCAAGAAGATCGTCATCGCTGACGAAATCGGAGAAAAGTTCGAAAATGAGGACGTGATATAAAAGGGCCAGGCATGATGAGAAAGGGGGTGGAAGTTATTATTGGTATCTGTGTGTGCGCTCCGATCGTCTACCTCCCGCCGAGAATCCGAACCTCCTCCTCCTCTACAAGACTAAAAGACCTGAACTTAACTGAAATTTTTCTACTCACCTAAAAAGAACTGTTCACCTAAAAGGAACTGTTGGACCTTTTGTGCTGATTTTGGACTTGAGCTCCTACAACCTAAGGTATTTATCCTGCCCGCGCACTATTGTACGTTCTCTCTCTCCGCGTAACGAAACGCGCACCCGGTCGTTAATTTGGACTAAATATTGAATAATAACTCATGTAGTATATGTATCGTATTTTATTAGCTGATGTAAACTTAATTTAGATTATATATAAATAAACGGGTTTTTATGTTTAAAACTTATGGAGTGCAGTTTCTTCCGTTTGTCTCTCAGTTCTCCATTCCGGGTCCAACCCTCATACCTATCCGCTCGCGCGAACTTGTGGTCTCTGTATCGACCGAAGGATACAGTGGTGTCATCCTGACGAGGTATCGAAGAGATACCGACCCTATGGTCACAAATATATATAGAATTTTATATTTAAAAAGTTAATTAAATGATCTTACTGAAATTAAAACGAAATGCTAGTTGTTGTTTTTCTTCTTTGTACCCTGATAATGCCATGCACCCTGCATAAAATGTTATTTGATACAAAAATGTGAACACTACGCTGGTTGCCGAATAATAACAAAACATTCTTATAAGAGGGAACGATGCCGTCATTCCAATGCAATATGAGAACAGATTAGTCAACGATGTTAACGTTATAGAAATTCCTGCTTCACCCAATGTTTCTTCCATGCGTTTGTGTACTTTATGCTTGGGGTTTGATATTCTCCAACACGCCAACAATACGAAAGCATCATCGATTTCCGTCACTACATCAAAAAATCATGAATAGACGAAAATATCATAATCTAAAATAGTACAAATATAAAAGCGTAAGTAATCACTTACCGAGGACTAAAAATGGAATGGTGATGTTTTAAATGCTATTTGGTACACCGACAGCCGACATGAATCCGAAAGAGGTGACCACAGCTAGACCAGCAGATAAGACGCTTGCAACACCAAGAAAAGGCTTGCTTTTTGCCCAATTGTTGCTCATACACGTGACAATAGTGAAAACAGAAATGAATGCAACTACTGCACCGATCATCGGCTCCATATTTTCAGATAATTGTACATTTCGTTGTTCCATTGACCACATGTAATCAATTATACAGAAAACATATTTAAATTGATGATTTCTTATTCGATTATAAACTTCTTTTTGCCATCTCTCTATCACATTGTGTTTTTTCTTGTCGGTCTCGTCAGTAAAATAGGTTAATCTTATAGCATTTACTGTTTGAATCACATCGTTGTCATCTCCGATTACACCCCCAAAGTTCAGAGAATTAATTTGATAAGAGTATGTCAGCGGATCTATGTCGAACGAATACTTCAATTTCTTTTTTCGCTGCACTATATTATCAATTTCGGGCAATATTTCGATAATAGGATTTTCAAAACATTTTTCGCTTACACGTGCACAAATATCTGGATATCCAATTTTTCTACCTTTATCGTTAATTGTTATATTTTTAATAAACTGATCCGCCAGACTTATTTCCAGTAGCACATCTTTTTCGAGCATGTCTCCACCACCTTTCTTTGTAAATATCACAAACACACATTTTGGTAGAGCTGTAAAACTTGTCGGATCAAGGAATTTCGATGTATTGAAAGGAAACGTTTCGTCAACAAACTTCTTAGTATCGTAGACTTTTCCTGAATCTGCAAATGTCATTTCTACCATGTTTGTGATAGTGTTTATATTAACGAGGAATGCTGAGAATATCGCTGATATTAAAATAGGAAAAAAGATAAAGAAGTAAGGATGAAGTCCGATTAATCTTCCTAATTTTCGAAAAACGATGAATAATCGATTCATTACACAGTGAATTTTCATGTTTCAATTTTGATTAATTTTTTTTTCTTTTGCCTATAAAAAATAAAAAAAAACATTATTCAGATAATTATCGATGTTCACAAAAAATATTTTTTTCAATCGAACATAGCTATAAAAGAGTCCTTTATCTGTTGTCTCATTGTATATTTTCGGGATTCCTTAAAAGAAAGTCTCTAAATAAGGTCATCATCGCGAGTAAAATTTTTAATTTTAAAGGCAGACGAAGCGACAACACATGAAAGACATTTCTAAAATTATGCACGATGAAAACTTTTTTGTAAATATTATAAACTTTTTTTTATGTTTTTATCATTTAGATAAATTTGATATTTTAAAATTTCAATTAAAATTCTATGAAGCCGTTAAACTTTTATTCATTGTTATTAAGTTTACATACTAGATAAAACATTAAACTTTCAGTTATGAAATCAGCTGTAATTTTCTTGTACAACTAGAAAATACTGCAAATCAGAAATCAGAATATTATTAGAAATTCTATAAATTTGTGTTTAATATTACGAAATTATTCGAAATTATGTAAAATAGTACATTTAAACATTTTTGTTATTAAAACAAATATGTAATATTCAGCTCAATACGACTAAAAACTACAAAAAAGTAATGTATAACCCATGCATATGAATAATTTTTAATTCCTAAATGCCAAGTACGTAATAAACCAATGTTATTTCTAAGTAATAAAACGTAAAAGTCAAATTAAACAATATAATATTTAAGAATACCTTTACGGAGAAGCAAGAGAAACATACGTACATTAATGTAAATATATGGAGTACTAGTTGAAGTCTCAAAGCAAAAAAAAAAAATTTTATATTAGCATTTAGATTTTCAGAACGATTACAGTCAATTTTTCGATTACAACTGACTTTCAGATTAATCAATGTTTTTGAAAGTGTGATGTTTCTACAAAAAATAAATAATAACAATAAAAAAAGATTAACAAAGAAAATTGTCTTATATCTACAAACAATTGCTCGAACGTGAAAAATTTGGCATGTTCAAAAATTAACATTACAGAGCTTTATATCAATTTTTTATCAGCTTTTATGACGTTATATAGTGAACAATGAACATTTTAAAAAAATGTGAACTTGTGCATTTAGAAACGCTAGTGTTTCCTTACTTTCACGATTTTTCACTGTTTGTTATCTACGTTAACAATAAAATAACTTTTTAAGTGTAATTTATATTTTAATATATTAAAAAAATTACGGTTCTATTAAATTTTGTAATAAAATTACTTACTTGCAAAGATTTCGGTTTTGTGTTCCGAAGTATTATTCACGTTAAATGAACAGTCAGAGGCGAGTTTCTGTAAGCCGATATTTTAATCTCGTACAAAATTTGTAGCAATCTATTAAATTATTACTTACTGTTAATTATAAACATATCACAACTCTTTAATTGTAAGTTTTTAACTATTCAGATATAAGCAGAGTCCTTTAAAACCGTAGCAGTCTCATTATCTTCAATAATAAGACAAATACGGTTTAAAAAATTTTTTATTATTTTAGATAAGTTAGAAGTAATTAACATAATAAAAAAAGCATGACATAGTACTGTTTGTTTCACAATACACGAACAACACTTTTTAAATTTGAATAGAACCTGATGATTTCATGCAAATTATTACAGGTGTATTTAACAGTTTAATTGGTCTTTTGTTAATTTCACTTATAAAACTCGCGAGCAAATAAAATTTTAATTACTTTATTCGCTAATTTAAAACAATTTGTAAATTACTTACGTTTAACTTATTATTAAAATGCATCTGCATGCTAATGTTTCTAAAACAATTTAATAATTACTTACCATATATTGTTCAATTTCATTATCCGAAATATCTTATGCCATGTTAAGTTGTACGATCAAGCGTTAATTGTATTTATCAACAGTGTTATAATTTGTAATATTGTAATAACGAATTTGCAAATGGATTTTGTAACTCGATGACTGGATTCAGACGTTAGACTTGTTAATATAAAAAAAGAAATCAATGTTGCAAGAAATGATAAATTATTTACGAGGAAAAAACTTGCAATACAAGTTTCATGAACAATTTAGTGAATAATAAAAAATTTTGAAATAAATTTTGTAATTAGTTATCACTGAGCCATGAAAATTTAGTTGTGAAAAACGTTAATGAGTTATTTCGATGAATTTTAATGATCTTTATTTAGTATTTGAAAACTAAACTGTCTAAAAATAACTATTTACTTTTTATACTAAATAAAAATAAAGTAGTAAGAAAAATGAAATAGTAAATTGACATTAAATAATAAATTAAATACAAGTTTACAATTTTAATAATTATATTCGGTGTAATCAAAGTTGAAGCAGGAAAAGACAAAAAAAAAAAAAATAGACAATATATTTTTTTTCGTGTCTTCCACGTGGAATAGAATCGCAGAAACGCATTACAGATATTAATAATGCAGTTATCGTTCATTTTAAAGTAGTAAAATCAATTTCGAGTTCTGCAATGTTTCATTATTTATAATTTTATACGCATGGCAACAATAATACCACATTTAAATAGTACTGTTATGTTTCGATAAAATAAATATATATCGATATATTTACTTTAGAGAAAAACAGCGATAGTAACATGTGTTGGTTAGATATATTAAATTTGCAAAAATATTTAAATTTTAAATATTATTAAATTAATTAATTTTTTAGTTAATAATTATTTAGTATGTACTGTACTGTAACGAAAATATTTCTGAATATTATCAGAAATTCTAAATTTTTTGTTAAATATTACTTTTGTAAAATTATTCAAAATTATGTAAATCTGTAGATCTATACATTTTTTATTATTAATGCAGATATTTAATATACGACTCAATACGACTATTTAACTTGGTGTTACTATTTACTGGAGAAAGTTTATTAATGTTCACTGAGTTTGAAGTTACAATTCATTGGAATACCTTATTTTAATTCCTAATTGGTTTTAAAAAATTTAAAACGTCTTTTTTCTAATTCGAGAAAAATTAGCTATGTTTATTTAAACATGTAACAATAACAACATGTATCTTTTTTTTTCTAACTCTCCTATGATATATTCGGACGTTGTTACTCGAACGTCACAAACATTATTAAAAAAAAGTATACGCGTGATAGCCCGCGTAATTAACTATCTGGTGTCGGAAATCATGACGGAGGAGACTGTGATTTTATGATCGTTTAGTCTCCCCAGCTTTCTATCACTCATTAAAATGCCATTCTTTGAGACAACCGAAAGCTAGTCTCACGATTATCTGCCGAGTAAGCGGTATACGAATCAAAACTGCATTCTGAACACCCGGCACATCTCACATTTTGTTGTATATTAAATTTAATTTTTAATTTTGTTAAAGAACCTGGTTTGAATCAATTATTTCGTTTCGGGTTATTCTTTAGTCAGACTTTAACGTTTTTTTCCACTGTGATCCTGTCGTACCAATCTAATCTTTGCGCGTGTTAAGTTAAATTTTTTTCTTTACTATGTCAGGAATCCAGTGAAAAATCGCGAAAATCTTTTTAACGTCATAAGTTATCTTAAATCAGTGACTGGGGTTTCACGGCCCCCTATCTCACACCTATTTTTTCTAATTATAAACATTAACCTGTCGTTGTATTTAAGCTTTGCTTTATTTCAAAT